GGGTGGAAATCGGACAACCCTATCGACCAGGGGTGAAGGGGTGTCCGAGGTGCGAGTTAAGCGGCAAAGCGTGCTGGCCCCGGCGGGTCCGCGATAAACTTGGACATGTTTGCCGAGCAATCGGCAATATAAGTGGAAAGTCTCGGAGGGCTATCGATTGGACGTCCCGGGGGTAGTCCAGCCTGGGGGGGGGGGCGAGGGGTGAACTCCCCCTCGGCGAGCCACTCGTCGGCCATCTCGCGGGGGAGTTCGGCCGAGTGGTTTGTCCGCTGTTTATTGTTCGTTGTTGTTCAACGGGCAAACATAGTTTTGGACTCGGGCCCCTCGGGGGGGTAGCTGGGGGGGGGGGGAGGCGAGTCGTCGAACTTCGGGGGAAATTCGAGTCCTTTATTTCCCCGGCTCGACGTCTCCCTCTTGGCCTCCGATCTCGGCCCTGAGTGCATTTGGGAAAAATCTCAAGAACGCCTCCCCCCCCCCCGGGAGAGGTGGAGGGCAGAGGGGTCGTAGAGATTTTCGCGAACGAGACGTCCTCGGGAAAAAAGGAAACGCCGGATCTCCACACCGAGAAGAATGTCCCTCGTTTCCCTCGCTCGGCTTCCTCCGAAGAGAGGATCTCGACATCGAGAGGTATCCCAGCTTCTCGAGGACCTCCGGGGGGAACTACCCCCGACCCCGGTTTCGTTAACGCCAGGGTGGACTCCGAATTGAACTTCCTATCGTCCTCCTGGCGTGGCTTATCCCACTAGAAGATGTCATAAATTGAATTTTATGCATATTAGACTGTTTTAGAAGTTTGAAAACCTTTTCATGAGTTTCTTGGTGTTGTTTAAGCTCGATATGTCGTGGCGATAAATCGTGCGGTTTTGGAAGCTGATCGGTTGGATGAATTTCTTCGAGAGGGTCCCATATCGATGTGTCGGTTAAATTGTGCTTATGAGTTTGTAGTAATTTTGGAGGTTCGGTTTATCGACACCTCCAAGGTGGATGCAGAAGGTCCTTTTTAATGAAAAATTAATTATTGAACGATGTCACATTGCTGACTTATTTTCAGAGGTACGAATGCGACTTTACTTTGGAGTAGTTGCGTGGAAAAAAGGATGGAACTTTTGGAACTACTTAATAAATCGTGACAAGGATGTCAGCTGATCTAGGTACCGAATAATGTCAAAGGTTCACGTGCGGCCAGATATCCGCGACTGCGGGTAAAACGATAAAGAAATTAATTTGGCGCAAATTTCATTCCGGACGGGGAAAATCACGGGTCGTTGGAGCGACAGATTGGGTCGTCGTGCAAAAAGCTCGCAGACGGACGAGTGCTTTCTTAGAGAGCGGAACAGAAGGGTAGATCACGGCCAGCTCTCGGAAGGATGATTAATGCGGTGCCAGAGGCTTGACATCGGGACATTATTATCAGGAACAATGGCGGCCAAATTGTAGGAGGGTGCAAAATCGTCGACGTCGAATCTCGCCGGGGAAAACAGGAGGACGACGTCCTTTTTGCACCTGTCCGCCTTAGCCCTAGCCCTCGATGCAATCGTCATCCAGGCACAGATAAAACGTGACAAATTGCATCGGTACTCGACTATCAAATTGCATCGATACTCTTTGCCGAGAACCACTAAATCTCGAATACAAACAGAATTAATTAGGAATAAATAAACGAAATGGATCGTTCTTAAAATGACCCAAAATTCAAAGGGAAATTCGGCGCGTTTGCAAGGTGAAAGCTTTAAAGCGACTTTCGTGTAACATAATTAATTTCCAATAAATAAACGAAGAGTATCGTTCTTAAAGTGACCCAAAATTCAATGGGAAATTCCGCGCGTTTGCAAAGTGAAGCTTTAAAGCGACTTTCATATCGGCTTGTTCTCATTGGAAATAGGAAGGGCGGCGATATCGAAGGCCGCTCGTTACAGATCTTTCCTTTCGAAGTTGCCTTTACGTTCCGGGGTTTTTCCCGCGCGTGTGCATTGTTCACCCTAAGAATACACAGGAATCGAGGAGCTCGGAGTCGCGAGAGGATTCCTTCTGGCAGGAGGTCCTTCCGCAAAGTTTCCGCCTTGTAGCTCGAAGCCCCTTCGACGACGCTCGTTAAAACGAGCTGAGCACCGTTCGAGACGAAAAATTCCCCTTTATGGGGAACGCTTTAAAGCTCTTTGCGCCGGCAAACGGTGAGCTTCCTCGACTCCACCCCCGCGCTTTTGTCCGCGGACCTTTCCGCGATTCTGCACTCGGTCAGTTTTAACCGCCCTACGTTCGGCCGAATCGCCGGTAATGAATGACCCACGTCTTTCCCCCGCACCCTTTTCGCCCTAATAGCCGGGCCCTTAAGCTTTTCAATGCGACATATCGATCTGTGCCCTTTGATATAAAAGCCAAACCCCTGTCTCCCCTCCACCCGAAACCGAATTTTCTCACTCGACAATGCCCGATAAAGCGGCACGCCGACTGTGATTCTTGACCCCTTCGATTGAATCTCAGTGGTAAACAATTGTGCACTGTAAAAGATGTTACCGAGTATTAAATTTTTAATACACATGCTTTTTAATTCGGCCGGGTTAAATGTTGCGAATTTCGAAACTCCTCCAGCCTTTTTGCAAATTCTGCGCAGCCGTCGTGGCTTTGCAATTCTTGTGTACGACTTTCTATGATAGAAGTGTATTCAGTTTGTGAACACTTTCGACGGGGTAATGGAGGTTCTCGGTTGACGAATTTCGGATGCTGATCACACCTGGATATTACTCGGGGAAATGGGTTAAGGGCGCGGTATTTCTGAGGGGTGGAAAGGGGGTGCGTTATGGCGCCATACTTCAGGGGGGTGACCCGAGCCTAGGGTGCGAGATTTCTAGCTTTTCCCTCACTCTTTCTCTCCCCGTGCCCTAATTCCGGCCTCTGAGAGACGTGGATTAAATGCGGTTCATTTATTTCATGGGGTTCCTTCGGAGTGCATCCTTCCAGTACGCAACAGATAGGAAAAACGCCCTCGAATTGATTTTTTAAAAGTAACCCCAAGCTAGAATTTTGCATTCTAGTGATATGGGGATACCTCCAAGACCTCGGAGGAGTACTCTAAATATCGGGTTTAATTAATAAAATTAATTAGAACTAAATTGAGTGCATTATTCGAAGGTGTAAGGACCACCATTGATGTCGTCTTTACTTGTAACTTTTAGACGGAGGGGGTGAGAGGGTTTCGGTTAGGTTGAAGCTCGTTTTCATGAGGAGCGAAGTGAGATTTTTCCTGAAAATGTAACCGAGGGTTATCGCGAAATCGCACGGAAATCGTTTTAAGCGCGAGTTTCCCCCTGGAGAGAGGCTAGTCACCCCAAAGAAAGTTACTTATAGAGAAGAGGTGAGTTATCGTGTCGTTCTTCGGCAAGCTGATCCCAGTCGAGGGTGCAAGTTTCCCTCGTTTTTCCTTCCCCCGTGCCCTAATTCCCTCCACCCGGAAGAAGCAGACTTTGGATCAAGATCCATTTATTTCGCACGACTTATCCCGAGGTGTATCCTTCGGGACACACGCAACGACCGAGGCTCCCGCTCTAACCGAGTTTTTTGCTGACGACCACCCCCTATCTCCGAATATAAATTCCATCCCCGAAGGCGAATTCCTCCCAGAAGTTTACGACGCGGGAATCGCGTTACGTTATCCGCAACGAGTTAATATCTCCCGTCGAGTGAACCGCGTACCGGGAATTTCCGCACCTGATTTACGAGGCGACGAGTCGATGTCCCCCGTTTCCGAAAGCCTGGATAAAAAAAATTCGAAATTCGAGGCACCACTTCATGACAAGTGAAATTCCACTCTAAGATTTTCCAAGATATCAACACTAAATTCCCAGACATTTCCTATACACTCATATCCACACACCCCAGTCGAAGGAATACCTGAATTTTCTCTTTAAAAAAATCCATTCATTCAAATTAGATACGATTCAGTTAAACATCTGCGTAATAATTATGATATCAATAACATTACTAGAAATGAGAGATAGTAATAGTTTCCTGTAATTTTCGTGAAATCCGTGACTCGTCAAGTCGATGGGTCCTGTAATTAACACCTGAAAGTAATCCGATCTGTTAATTGCGTGAAATTGACGAAGGCGGCATTTTTTCACGGCGAACAATCAGGAGGCGGATTATCCTTCTGATATCTCTTATCAGGATGAGGAGCAGGCTCGTTCATTTTTCCTCCGGCATTCCGGATCGAGGTCCATTTGTTCCCAACATCTTCAGGGACCACGCAACGCGGAATTCTTACCCGGCGATTATTCCCCGCTCCCCGATACAAATCGCTTCTTCCGGGGGCGCGTCTTCTCCCGGCGTCGCGACGGCGCGAACATCCCTTATTAAACGCACGCCCTTCTCCCCGTGACGCGTCGATTTTTCAGGCCTCCCGGGGCTCTTCGTCTTCGTGGTTTCCGCCTTAACGATAAGTGCCGAGCTGCCGTGCGATTAATTCCCAAGCTTCCCCGGTGTTAGGCGCGAAAGCTCGCCCTGGCGACGACGTCGAAAGCCGTCGAAAGCTCCTCGCCGACGCAAGACGCCCTCCCCAGGGAGCCTCCTAGACTTAACCCTCCTGTCTAGGTGTAGTTAAACTTCTCCCTAAAATCGAGAAAATGCAATTAGACGTAATATATGGGAATAGATGTCCCATGTACAAAATATTAAAGAGCTAACTATGATGCTAAAAAACGCCTAGGGCCTATATCATAAATATCCCACTTTTCTGTGACCAAACGAAAATTCTTTTGGGGGGTGAATTAAGGCCCATCTAGGGCGCCTTGGCTAGGAAAATTCTTACAGTGGATTTTCCAGAGGGTAGATACTATCTAGAATTTTCGTATCCTAAAAGTAATCCTCATAGCGCGCATGTCCTCGGATAAATTAATGGTAATTATTTAAGACCTGTGAATGTTTGTCATCCCTTAAGATAAGGGCACTTTTGGCCCGCCCAATTCCTTAACGCAACTAACGACGGACTCTCTTTTTGCTTTCAGGCTGCGCGTTTGTAAAGTTCTCGTCGCACCAAGAAGCACAAGCGGCGATCAACTCCCTGCACGGTAGCCAAACTATGCCGGTGAGTTCCAGGACTTTTGTACGTAGGTAGACGGCCCGAAAGGTCGGGACTCCTGGGGGTAGTTCTCCTTCTCCCCCAGGTACTACCCCCGGGAAGTTCCTCAAAAGGACGGAATCAAGTTCCGCGTGGAAAGGAACTTTCCGAGCCCGCGGTAATTAATGTCCGCGAGGTCCGCGGGTATCGAGGTCGCAGCTTCGGCCTCCATTTAGGGGAGGTAAGCCAGGATTTTTCCGATTCACCCCCTCGGGAAAGAGGTAGGAATTATTTGCGTCGTCCAGATCAAACTATACGAAGAGATTCTGCAATGGGTCCAGGTGGAGGAGGGAAATTGCGGAATTCTTCCGGGTAACCTCGGGTGAAGAGGATTTTCCGGGGGGTGGACGCGATTAGGGGGTGGCACCGAACTGGGGGGAGATGCACCCCCAGCGGGTGGAAAACGAAAGTGGCCTCGTTCCCAAGAAGGTCCCGGAGGGTCGCGAAATGAAGCAGTTACGGTTATCCAGGGCAGGGGGGGTCGCCCTCCAAGGGTGGGTTACGACTCATCCCTTGGCGGCGGCTGCCGTACCGGCAAACACCCCCGTAATGACTGGCCAAACACAAATCTGCATAACACTTGGAGCAACCCGTCCTCGCCCGACGACTGTACTTCCCGGACCGCAAGCCCCGAACTTTCCCGGCTTAGGGTTGGACCGGGAATTCGCAGTTATAATTGAATTGTCAGTATTCCGTCCGGGTTCACGGTATCGCGCCGAATTCCACCTTCTGATTAGCGAACGCTCCAAACTTCCGGCCGAATACAAGGTGCCCTGCGAGGGCGAAGATCCTGCCTTCCTGCCTCGAAGGGCCCGGCGCCATCTTGCGACCCCCTTGCAATTGGGACCTCCAGGAGGAATTTCTGCCTCCACGTCTCCCGATTTCCCGGGATTCAGGAATTACCCTGGTACTCCCTGCAACCCCTGGAGCACATATATAAGCCTAGAACGCATCCACTCTTCCGGACTTCCGGGTACCATCCCTCCACCAGCCCCAAATCCCGCAAATCTGAGTCCATCCAAGTCTTCCGAAATAGAAATCCACCCCCTCCAAGGTCCAGATACAAAAGTAGGATGCATCCCCCCTTCCCAGCCTGAAAAAACCACCCCGTCCCACGTAGCATAAGTCCAGATTCACCTAAATCTCCAGAAGCGGAGATACCACCCCCAGCACTTTTAGAGTCCCTCACCCCACCAAATTCGATTTAAAATGCATCTCGCGTAATTCCGGCATTCTCCCATCCGAAAGATAACCTCTAATTCCTCGCAAATTCCGTCCTCGTCCCGAAGGAGTGACCGTGTCCTCCTCGGCGCAGGATTTCCTGGCCTAACCCTGTAAGCTCCGCCCGGGCGGGAAAAACCGGGCTGTTTGCTCGGCACCCGCCTTCGCGGGGACAATAATATGCAGATCGGTTAATTATTTCGGCGAATTATGCAGATGGTAACCTCGTAGAGGGGTGGTCCGCGCGAAAGCTCGGTCCCCGCTCCTGGAGGATTCGACTCGGCGATCCGGGAAGCTCGTTAAAGCCGCCGAAAGATCGAATGGGGCTGCGGATCCTGGCGAGGCCGGTAACGAGGTTACCGAGCTAGACCATCCTCGAGAAGAGTTTTCGTACAGGCTGCAGGGACGGTGCGGCATCGCAGGGTGCGCACCCGAGGGTAATTCGATTTGGCTGCGTTCACCGGTCCCCGTCCTCCCCCGAGGAGCTTGCAACCCCTCGCCCGCCGCCTAGGAAACTGCATTACTGGCGCGACATCTCGACTTATGCACCCCCGAAATGAGATATTGATTCGGAATCTTGTACCCCCGCCGGTGCTCCGGAGCCGTTCTTCGAGATTTTTACGAGCGAGTCCAGAAACAACCCCCCCCACAACCACAACCCCCTCCGAATCTCGACCCCACTTCCGGGCGAAAAAATATCTAGAGGAGTTTTGGCCACGAACTGTATTACGAGGGTGGGTCAGGATCCATTTAATTTGGTTTATTTGTTAATTTTATAGCGAAACTTCTTTAGTCATGTTGGGGAAAATTGATGGGGGGAACGTTTGAATGGAAAGGGGGCTGCTTTTTAATTATTAATATCGACTCAGCGTCACTATTCAGGACTGGGGACTCTTATAAAATTCGGAGGGTTGTGTTTTTATTTTTCCTTCCTTTTTATCTGGGTTTTGAGTGGTTCTTCCGGGATGGGGGTTTTCCAGGAGGGGCTATGGCGGATCGGGATGATTCCAGCGGGGGCGAGACTCCATGGGGAGGATCAATCTTCTTACGCTATCCTGGTAGTGAAACGGGAGATTAAATGCTGGAGAGCTCGCACAACTCGACCTCCCGACTTACAAGGTAAAATTCCCAGCCCGGGAGACCCTTGTCGCGATTAAGGCCAGTTACAGCAAGGGATGAGCGTTCTTGCATCCCCTACGGGGCACGAGAGTGGCGATCTCGAGAGCCCGGAGGACCCTCGAGGCATCACAACCCTCTCCAGGCCCTCGTTTTTCTACTTCATACGTCCCGTGAAGGACAATTAACCCTTGACATGCGTAACGATAACGATAAACCGATCATTTGTATCCAAAACCCAAAAATGGGTCCCTATACCTTAACGATCAATTGGAACACTTTCCTCTGATACAAATGACAACAATGTATCTAAAGAACCTGTCAATGTCAATGTCAATGCCTGAAATGTCATACTCCATCTGTCGTCTGGACTAAGTTAAAAAATTGTGTTGAAAAATCGAAATTTGTCGAAATATCAGGATAATTTCTAAGTGCTCACGAGTCATGCGTCAAAGTTTCGGACAGTTCAATCCACCTTAAAAAAAGCGTCTTATTCGAATCGACTGATTTGAGGGGGGGTTCCACTTCACCTTAACATGGGGGGATGGAACGACATAACAGACCGGAGTAATTTTTAATGAAAAGAGTCGGAGAATCGGAGGCGGCCAGGGGGTGGCATCATCCCTATACGTGATATAAGCATTCCCGAGGCAGAATCCCACATTCCCGCCGCCCCGTGGCCAGGGATGAAAGGTTAAATGGCGGAGGGCGGGATCCACCCCCGCGACTTAGAAGGTAAAACGCTTGGCTGGGAGACCCTTGTCATGATTAAGGCCCGTTAGAGCGAGAGATGCGCCATTGTGCCGAAGGGAGGGAGGGATGCGAGGGATATCTCCGGAGCCCCGAAGAGGGCCCTCGAGAACTCGAGCCCCGTGCCCCTTGGGCAACTGCGCGCTCCATCCCCTCACAGGGTGGAGACTCGCTCGAGCGGCCACCCCTAACTCGAGTCGTCCTCCACCTACGAGACGAGCGAGTCGAGAGGCCTCGGCAAAAACGCGATTAAGCGATCAAAATACGCGAAATTATTGCGAGCCCCGCCGGGGGTTGCTCCGCATCCCCCTATTATCGCCCTCCACCACCCGGCGAGGGATTTGGCGCAACTCCGACAAGATAGCGCCAATCGGCCTGCACGAGCCACTTCAGGAACCCTGGGAAGGATATATAAAAGTGGATCTCCTTCCTACGCGGACACCCTTTGATTTATGCGCCGGCACGATCCTTCCCGCCACCCCATGGATCCTGTACCATGGGGCGTCCCCGGGACTCTGGAACTCGCCCTTGTTTTAGGAAGCTGGATCGATCCTCCGCAGCCCTCTTTCGGACCTCCGATTTAATTAGCAACCTCGATCCGAAGGCTTGTTAATTTATAATCGAACACTGTCGAAAGCATCGCACCATAGATATGATAAAAAACAAAAACACACCCCCCACTGTAGAATAATAAAAAAATCGGCACACGTGCACAAGGTTCGAGTGAAATCACATATCATATTTTACCAGTGAATAATTACACGTTTAGTATGAATTCACAGGAAGGTCAATTCTCCCTTATGCACTGAGTTCATATGGTGTGTTAGAAATTTCATTTAGAAAAAGGGTTAAATTAGTGAGGATTAGGTCGGTAGTGAAGTTACCATGTCTGAATGAGACTTTTGGCGAGAATGTTATGAAATGACGGTATTCCCTTTTTTCATCTTGTATCTTGGGCTGAAATTTCCGGGATTCGCGACCTTGTTCCACGGGGTCTTGCTCGGGGGTGGTTTTACGCTTTTTTTCGAGAGTTGGCGCAGAGCTTCAAGCTCGACTCCGAAATCGGCCGAAAGGTCGCACCTGTCCGGCTGGGGGAATTTTTCCTCGAGGCGACCTCGTCGGTTTCATTTCGCTACGCCAAGTTATGACTGACGGGGGGATGCGACATTCCCCGACACAGCCGCCCTTTACGGGCTCAATATTTCCGCGGACGCCCTTTGTGCCCCGCGCCCTCTTGCTGCGTGTCAGGGGTGGCATGCGGCTACCCCTGTTCGCGTAGTTACACCTTCCCGCGTGACATTTCTTGTCACACCTCGCGACATGCCGGAAACGCGACCGCCCCATCCGGCGCCTCCTCGTATCGCAGTAACGCGAAATGTCTCGTAATAAAAACGGGGGCTACAAAGTGTTTGGGGATGGGGGGTGAAAAGTTACGAGGTTCGTTGTCTTCCAACCCTTTGAGGAGTCCTCCTTCTCGCCCCCATTACGAAATCTTCCCCTGGAACCGACCAGGGGATGACTTCACACCCCGATAGGTACCCTCGTCGAAGGAGCCCTAGTAAAAAATCTATGTGTACAATAAAATCGTACCAAAAGGTACAGCAATTGTGTTTTTTAACCCTTTCCCCGACTTTGGTCGGTAACAAATTCTGCCATATCTGTAGAGTATCATTTGATCGTATGACCCGTATTGGAGGAATCATCCTAAAAGTGCATTTTCAACATACGTAACACATTTTGGTCATCGAGACGAGACGAGAAGACCAGCTATTGGGGTAACTTTCAATTTCCCAAAAGTATAAGGTTAGACTTCTATTTGGAAATTTCGGGATGGAATGATACGACGAAACAGTTGTTATTTAACACTTAGAAAAGTGTAC